CAGTTTCTCATACACTTGATTTGTCAAGAAAATCATTTATCGGGAACTGCCTTGAACAAAAAGAATAGAAGGGTAATAGTAGTGTAACTCCCAACTTAAGTAAATGAAGTTGAGTGGTGTTTAATTAATGTTCAAGTTTAACAAGGACGAAATAAAATTCATGCCGGCAACCTTTGCATTCAACTTTTCTCTTCTTAATTGAACGAGTAAGTAATTTCGACCATGCTTCATCGCAGCATTATAAACTGTTTTATAGGAACACAGATAAGATGATCATCGTGGGTCTTAAACGAATGTCTACATGTTACAATGGAATGATCGTGTGGCCGAAAAACTGGTTATGCGCCTACCTAATTGATAGACGTGGATTCATTCTGTCCAACTGTAGTTCACATCTATGCAGTTCTACCAGATGCAGCTGTTAATTTTTGGAGCCGCGCGCGAATGGACAACACAAACAAAAAAAAAAAAAACGAGAGAGTGCCTGGCAATCAATCGGGCAAACAAAAGTCAGGATGGAGCCTGGCCTAGTTGCAATCCTCCCTCCCTTCAATGCTTGATTTAGACAAGACTCGGGGGGGATGGGCATTTACACTTGGATTGCAGACAGCTAGTAAAGTCTTGCAACATCTGCTCACCGCCCGCCTGCAGGAGCCAGCAGAGTCGCTGAGATCATCAGCTTGTTTCGATTCTAGCACTGCACTTCACCTGGATACCAGTAGTATTGAACAGAACGAATCACTAGTGTTGGCTATTACATGTTGACTGAATCGGTCGACTCTTTACCCAAAAAAAAAAAAAAGTGCATGTTCAGTTCAAATCTCCACGTGAAAATTGTATTAGCAAATAACCTACCTATAAGTACTTCTATAAGCGATTTTAGTCCTCGTGAACAGAATGGAAATTTCAGAAACTTTTGTTTTTTTATCCAAAAAAGATAATAATGAACAAACTTAACTATCGGTACTCTTTAGTACTGCACAATAATGAACTATCGGTACTGTACTCGATGGACGTACTGCACAATAAAAGAAAAGGATATGCACTGAAGCTGTACGTAACAGGCAATATATGTCAACTTATATTTATAAATGTGTATCGGCGTTATGCGTATAGAGACTGGAGAGAAACGGATGGATGGATGAGGTGAATTGGGGAAGCGTCGATTGCGAAGCGACAACCTTGGTACTATTCAGTATTCAAGACAGAACCCACCAGCTAAGGTTGGTTGCACCAATCACCATGCATGCATCTACGAACCATATAGGCATGTAGATAGTACTAGTGACTCGTAGCCTGCTGTTGCGACCTGCTGGCCCCCGGGGGACCAATTCTTGAGACAATAATTGCTTGAAATTGCAAAAGCCGGCACTTAATTTGCTGCTAAATTGGTATCATCACTCCGTTGCAGAAGCTGTAATTAAGGAATTTGCCTCGCTAGTCCATAAAAAAGCATGACTCGTCACATTCTCCTTTCAATGTTTTTACCAGAAGCAAAAGCTTGCATGAACAGCAAAACTGGATGCCTCCATCTGACGCTGGTTCTTGCAGACTTTAAGTGATTGATCAAAATATGGTTCTGTGGGGTCGCAAACAACGTATCCAATTTGGCACAGACCCAAACTTTTGTCATACATAATCCCCCTACCATCAATTAAGCTGATGAGTCCTGGTTCAAACAAATTATACTAGTATAGAATGAGCAACAATCATACAAAGCACGTGATGCGGGTTTATTGCCCCTCGGCGCAGATCGGCTGGCTATGGGATAGCCGCATTAGGCCCAGGTCGTGTGGTTGATTCTGGTTCTCCTACCGTCTCGTGTATTCATGGGGGCGAGATGCACGGGCGCAGGAAAATTAGTCTGGCAAAAGTTGAGATACTCCTTATGTTGACAAAAAAAAAAAAAAAAAAAAAAGTGATGCAGGTATATTGTAGCATATGAATTTATCTTGTTTGATAACATCATCTTTTGATTTTTCTTTTACCTATAAATCTCATACTTGACGTGCGTAATTTGTCTTTAGCAGAGTAAAATTTAAGCCTCGTACTCACTGAAAGAATACTCGACGTGCGTAATTTGTCCGAAAGAATTCTTATATCAAAATTTTGATGATACTATTTCATTGATCATATTGTCTATGGGTCCTGAAATAAGTTTGTAAACTTTTAAATGAATATTTCAATACCTATACACTTTTTTTTTTAGTGTAAGTGTAAGTGGAAGGTCTCGAATTTAAAATCTCTTACTTGCACTTCTCCTTTCCACAGCACCTAACCCATTCTTCCCCCTCTCAATACTTATACACTTTGAAAAAATGCTAAAAACATCATGCAAATATACTTAATTTTGTAATGTCCACCTACAAGGAAATATAGGCAACCAATATATTATGCAAGTTGTTAATAAAAATATAAGAATTAATCTTCTATACATTAACGATATATACACTTTTTCATGATTAGGTACATAATATATAATCAAATTTGAAACCAAAATTTTGTATATGTGTCATACATCCAACATCGATAGTGTATATACATTGTCAGTGTATATAAGATTAACTCAAAATATAAAGGTTGCATGTTATTCCTTATAAGACGCAGGAAAATGATGAGTGTGTCTGGATAGTTATATTTTAGGGAAAAAAATTTTATTCCACTATAAACATATTTTTCAGACACTTTTCAATTTTTTCAATCATTTGTTTAACTTACATACATTAAAATAGAAGAAATGCTATTATTTTTTAAAAATAAATTCAAAATATTCTTCGATAATTGAATGATAAATTCTTTTATTTCGACTGATCCTGTTGACTAACCGTCACACCTTACTATCCAATTCATTCTTTCCTTGAAAAAGTATGCGTGCAAATGAATCTAATCAAATTCAACACTCTAATGTTTAAAACTTATTTGATTATTTTAATGAGTTATTTTATTTAACCTTGGCTCGTTTATTGAAGTTGAATGGATTTTTTATTTAGTTTGAATTTAACTTCACTAGTTGGCGAACCAAAGTCAAACGAACTCTTACGAAATTGAGCTCAAATTCGAGCACGGAATCATTTGGTTATCTTTCGGCCATATTGATGAGGCATTAACTTAATTATTTATTTGTCGAAGAGCGTAACGGATTCTCTGTACCATACCCTGTCTCACATCCTATTCTCCCCTTCTAAACTTGCCAAGTGTTCTTTTATAAATCAAATCCTGAAACAACCCAACTCGAACCATGTGTAATTAATTAACCGATTAATCGAGCTGAGAAACTTAGTCACTATAATCAAAATCGATTAAAATAAAAATCCAAAAAACAAAATTAAAGATTAAACAAGGCACAAAAAAAAAACCCCCACAAGGCCATGAAATCAGAATCCCACAAGATTTCACTCCTCCTCAAAAGCTTCCGTCAGATATCACTCATCAGCTCAAATGCCTGGTGGCATCAGAGAGTGGGCGACTTAACCTGTTGAGGTTGTCGTTTGATGGACACGAAAGACTCGAATGAGAAAACAAAAGATTAGGCCCAATATGAGGCCCAGTTGAAGCAACCGTCGAAAATCGATGTATTCGACTGGATTTGACGAGTGACTAAATCTGGCTTTGTCGTTATCTCTCTCTCTCTCTCTCCGCTTCCTATTCTGGTTTCTCTTCCCCACTTCTTTATTAATCTCCCCTCATTGAATCTTGAAACTTAGAAACCTAACCCTATTCTCTCTCCATTGTGCACAAACTCAGAACCGTCCTAAAACCATTCCTTCTTTCCCCATCTTCTTCACGATTTTGAGCCTTTTATAACAGCCCATGTTCAGAAGATCATTCCATTACCAGAAACTTTGGTTTCTTTTGATCTGCATTGGACGCGAACGGTTCTGATTTGATCACAGACAAAGACTCGTGATAAAAGAGAGAGAAGATATACAGGGGAAGGTTTCTTTCAATCTCTAAAGGAGTGGGTATTTCCTTAAAACCATTTCATTATTTCTTCCTTTCCTATTTGATATCCTTTTTTTTCCCTTTATTATCATAAGTTTTACCTCATTTTCTTGATTTTTTTTTTCTTTAGTCCAAGTGGCTTGTTTTATTCCGATTTCTAGGTTCGAATTAGTAATGCAAAATTTAAATTTTTACGGGTTTTTCCCCTTTGTTGCTTGTCATTGAGGGCAATGTTATTTGTTAGTTTACTGTGTTTTTTGATGATTCTAGTCAAATTCCACGAAAACGGTTCAGTAATTTTTTGAGATATTCTGGGCACGGTTATACCAGTAGCACATTATAAACGTGTGCTAGAAACAGTATAGACTATGGTCAGTGAACTGTTAGTTTTACTTTTTAATCGTTTGATGTCTTGTTTGAGTTGTACCTTGATGGAAATAATATCCTTTTATAACTTCGTTATCATTCTGGCCGGGCTATTATGAATTATGTACTTGCATCAACTTTATTCCAGTGTCCTTTGTTTGCTGTAGGTATGTATTCAGCAGATTCTTTTTGTCGATGTTTCTTATGATATAGCGTCCTGGAAATGTACTATGGAGCGTTGATTGAGTGTTTATTTGCGGGTCCCAGTTGTGGAATTATGCTTTTCCCAATCTCATGATTTGAGGGTTAAAGATGGGGCTGTGGTGACTGTTTCATGTGAGATTGACTCCTCTGGAGTCAATAATTGAAGAGGACTGAAAATTCATTAGTTGGTAGAAGTATCAATAAATTGACTTTATTTTGATTTCAGTTAATTCTGCATTTGATTGACAGATAAAAAATGAATTTTTTCCCTAAATTTGTAATGCTTTGTCATGATATCTGTTGAGGTTATTGCTTCAATTACTTTCTGCTATCCATACCAAAATTTACATGCTAAAAAATAGCTTTTAATATGTTTAGAAATTAGAATAATACAACTTCAACTCATTACATTGAAATCGATTTTTTTTTGGTAGTCATGTTGTCATTTATTGATATACCTATTGTATGTGAAAAAAGTAAAAGAGTACTTTAAATTGGCATCCAAATATGTTTTGTACACTGTCCATAAGATGGAGTACGCTTCTGCTATTCTCTTTATGAAGGGTTTATCTTTAAATTTGTGGGTATTAGAGAAGTGTATTTTTGGACATAACATGAACTTGGTACATGAGAATTTATAGAATAATTGTACTGGTAGATTGGAGCTTGAGTCTAGTAAATTTGAAGTTGTGGTGAAACGTTTCGATACCTCTTGATCTGAGTGTTTTGATGATTTCTAAATAACTTTTTATCAGATATACAAGCCAATGCAAATTTTGTGTCTTTTTCTTGCTAGAATTGGAATCCTTAGACCCTATGGGTTTGGTTGGGTGGAAATGACAAAATAGAGCCATGGGAAACTGGGCTATTTACCATCTCCCAGTAAAATTTGTCAAAAGCATGTATAACCAGAAATATGTTCATTTTGTTGGTTCAGTTTGGAAATTGCGGTTGGTGATATTCAAGCTTGATGAAATCTATGGGTGAATTAACTGAATTGGAGAACAATATTGGGGATAGTAAAATTGGAATAAAACAGGATATCTTCTTGCCCCTTCATTTCTTTTCCTTTGTGTGCGTGTGTATTCTGGGTGGGGTGGAGGGGAAGGGTGGGTTGATTTCTGGACAAGATGAGTTAAGAATCGTGCAAGGAACATTGTGATCCTTAGTGAATGAGAAATTTCGGTTTATTGGGGATTACTAAGCAGCTGATTACTTCATCCACTCTTCCCCTTATGAATTTATTGGAATATTGCCCAAGTCCCTTATTTGTCTGGGAAGTACACAAGGATACGGGTGATTATGTAGGAATTGTCATCCGTTCATAATGCAAATGCACTTTTGGCTGGCAGGATGAAGCTAAGAGTAGGATTTATTACTGCATTACATTTGTTATTTGTTCCCTGCTCTGGCATGTTATAACATTTGGTTTTGTTGGCATTCTAGAGACATGGGGTGATACATTCGTCATGGAGATTCTTTACTTGTTTTTATATCTCGGGAAGTATTCTGGACATTACCTCTTTGAAAGCTGTGCATTGATTGTCGGCTTTTATGCTTGTCAATTGAAGTGTCTGAGCATGTCTAATGGTTATGTCAGGTATTCTAAATGTTGTGATGTTTTCTTAGATCGTGGTTGGCAATCTATTGGCTAGTTGACTGAAGATAGAAAACCCCAGTGACTGAACTTCTGTCATGAAAGAATTCTGGATTGTGTTACACTCTTGTGCTTCTAGTAGATATTTGAATTAGTTATGGTATGAGTAATTCGGTGCTCAATGGGTGTTTGTGGTGCATCTCATTGAAGGAACTATGCTTTCCGTGAGTGTCATAGAGATATCAGATTTCTGGAATTTCTACAGACCTCAATTAGGTACACTTGATACATATTAGTTTTAAAATTAATGTTCTTTAAGATTTGTGACTATGGAAGGTTAAAGTTAGAGATGCAGCAGGCATGTAGAGTTCTTTATGTTCGGCCTGTAGGACTTGATACAAAGATTCATGCTAGATACAACTGGGTTTTTGTTCTCTGTATGTGTATCTGAAGTTCTGAACTGTAGAGTTTATGCAGGTACTTTTGTCATAAAATCTGTAACTTCTCAAAAGATTTTGAAAATTAGTCCTCGAAAGGAACTTTTTCTTATCCTTCCTTTCAATTTTCAACCTTCTTCCCCTCGAGAAGAAAACAGGAGTGAAAATGAAATTTCAGGTGTTTTAGGAATTATATTTGTTGTACTAATTTAATATTGATTTGTCTTGTACATGGATGATTCATTTGATAGAACGTTGCATAATGCTTTGTCCACTTTTTGTAGGTGGATTCCAAACTGAGCAGCCCAGGAGGGGATGTGGAGGTAAGCTAATGTTCCATTGTTAAATTTGAAAACTTAATGGTTTGGCTTCTAAAGTTAGCTTCAATGCATGTGAAGAAAATCTTGGCTTAAAAAATATGCTTACATTTTCGTTAATGGACAATCCCTTGTTTTTTGTTTTTCTTCTTTTGTTTTGTGATTAAGGTGCTGAAAATTTATTTGAAATAGTCGTAGCATTAAACATGGATGATTTCTTGAACGTTTTGATTGCCAATACTTTCTTGACATTGCAGGTACATGCCAGCTGTAGCACAGGGTTGCTATTTATATAAAACTCAGTAGCAGAGTTGGGGAATTGGCTTGAGTGGGAGTGTTTAGTCTTATTCTTGGTTGTCACTCCATCTGAGATTCCTTGCTGCCTGCAAGTGATATCTTTTGTCCTTGAAATGCCTGCCTTTCCTTCCAAGTTTCCTTTCAGGGCCCTGTTTCCACATCTGGAAATAAGCTAGGTTTTAAATTCTCTTGGAATTTAGTCTGAATATTACTCTATAAATCAGTAACAATGGCTGTCTAGTGCAACAGCGCAAGGGGCTTAAGATGGCTTTCTATTCTGCGGAGGAACAAACAGAGGATTACCTTTTCAAGATTGTCTTAGTTGGTGATTCAGCTGTTGGAAAATCAAACTTGCTTGCTAGATTTGCCAGAGATGAATTTTATCCAAACTCAAAATCAACAATAGGAGTAGAATTCCAGACACAGAAGGTTGAAATTAATGGGAAGGAAGTCAAAGCTCAGATATGGGATACAGCTGGTCAGGAGCGTTTTAGGGCTGTTACATCTGCATATTACAGAGGTGCAGTGGGAGCTCTTCTTGTGTATGACATCAGTAGGCGACAGACATTTGATAGCATTGGCAGATGGCTTAATGAACTTCACAGTAAGCAATACCAGAACTAGTATATAGATAATTACGGTGTATAGTATTCTGATTTGCAGGAGTCGTGCAAAGCATTAGGCAACCATCTGATTTGACATATGCAAATATGAAGGTTATCAACTTCCCAGGATTGGGATATCTGTTGCCTTGACAAAAAGCTTCTTTTGTCCTTGTTCCCTATTCATTGGACTGCAGACTGTTGTTTTCAGTGACTTTTGGCTGGTATTCCATTTTAATATTTCAGAGAAAGAGTGAGGATCTTTAGGTTGTCTGTTGGTAGTATTAGATCTGCCATGAAAATTGTAGCTACGGTTGATGTTCCTATTATATTGCTCTAGTTGGTATCTTGTGTGGAGTATTGCAATTTCTTTAATCTGAAGTCATGAATTTGATTTCTTTCAGGTGGAATGATTTTCTGCTTATGTATAAAATCTTAAAACCTATTGACAGTGCATAAAACTGGCTTTTACCAGTCTGCATGATGCTTATGTGCTGATTTAGTTATACAGTGTGAAATGTTTGTTGAATGTTCTTGATGCAGCTTGTTTGTAATTAGTGCTGAGCAATTTTCTCCCTAGTTGGTCCGAAGGTTTAATTTGAGTCTTAACCTATTGAACAGCGCACTCTGACATGAATGTTGTTACAATACTTGTTGGGAACAAATCTGATCTCAAAGATGCCAGGGAGGTCAGCACTGCTGAAGGCAAAGCCTTGGCCGAGGCACAGGGCCTTTTTTTCATCGAAACTTCAGCTTTGGATTCATCTAATGTAGCTGCTGCTTTTCAGACGGTGGTTAAAGAGATATACAACATCTTGAGCCGAAAGGTTATTCAATCTCAAGAGCTCAAGCAAAAGGATCCTAGCTCGATTGGAAATGGAAAGACTGTGGTTCTACAGGCAGATGGGAACCAAGATGCAGATGAGCAAAGTAAAAAAGGTCGGTGCTGTTCATCGTGAAGTTGGGCATTGTAAAGACATTCTTCTCTCTGTGATCTGAATGTCTCAAATCCCTTTTGGCAAATTCTGTTGTAGTTCGCTTTCCTGATTGTGAACCAATTCCTTGTTAGTGTTGAAACAGCAGGGAAAGTGTCTTTTGATACCGTTCAGGGGCTATAGGTGAAACTGTACCACAAGAGTGTAAATGACCTGTGAGAGGTTACAAGATTTTGTTTTTGTTCTCCGATTTTTTTGCCTGCTGTCCGGTTTGTTTGAATTTGTATGGTTATATGTATCCTTGTAAAGTATGTTAATTTCATGGATCCTCTCCATGTCATATTCGTTTATAATAGAATCTAGTTATACGTAGCAAATCCCAGCTCTACGGCTCGATAATATCTACTCTACGAAAACGAAACCAACCAACCAACGAATCCTAGCCATGGGGAGTCCTATTCTTGATGGTCAGCTAGTGGAGGGATGGAAGAGCTATATTATAGGAGATCGAATCCTAGCCATGGGGAGTCCTATTCTTGACGGTTAGCAAGGGCGCGGAAAGACATTATTGAGTTTGTTTGGATAAGAGTTTATTTGGATGATTTATTTGAGATATTTACTGTAGCACTTTTTGTGATGTGATGTATGTGAGATAAAAAGGTGATTAGGAAGATAAAAAGGTGATTGGGATTTGTGAAAACAAATTTTGTAAACCAAATTTGGCTTGTCCAAACAAAATCATTGGTTTGTTTGGATTGCTTCATATTTTCCCAATTTTATTTGCTTACATCATCTTTACAATTTCCAATACACCTTTTTATCTTCCCAATATCTTTTTATCTCACATACATCACATCACAAAAAGTGCTACAGTAAAAATATCTCAAATAATCCCAAATAACTTACAATTCAAACAGACCCATTATTTTTTTAGTGTTTTTGGAACCAAGGATCATCTGGAAGTCAATTAAGTTATTGTTTGACTAAATAAAATACTATTAAAAAAATTACGCAAAAAGTTTTCCACTTTTGGCATAAATAATCCTTAACCTTGTTCCTTTTTTTTCTCCCTTTAAATAAGTGGAGCTCCGTATATAGATCCATCCGTTCAATGGAGGAATTCTTTTTATTTGCTTATATATATATATATATTGTGTGTGTGTGTGTGTGTGTGTTATGAGAAAAGAAGGAAGATAACGATTTGACAACAAATTGATAACGATTTGAAACCTGCCAACTGGAGAGTGCAAGAGTGATGGGGATGGACTGTAGGTAAGTGTCAAAGAAGCATTTGCTGATACAAAGCACCACATTTTGGTTCTTGCATTTTTTAATCCATTTGTTGGTAGTCGACGTGGCCAACGACAGCTGCCCAGGGTCCCTGCCCTCTATTCCAGGGATTCAGTGGGCCATTCCTTTTATCCATTTGTATTATATATATATATTATATATACACACACACACACTTTTTGGAGGGGCTCTCAGTACTTTGACTAGAACATCTGGGCCAAATTTGAAAATTTGTAAACTTCATCATCTTCTCCGTCTTTTTCAACCTGCGCTGCCGCCATACTTCCACTAAATATAAACCTGCAGCTGAAATTCGGGCTGGCAGCGAGCTTTCCATTCCAAAGTTTGCTGCCACATACACATATAAAAACCTTCTACTATGATGACTCACTCGTTTTTGTTTGCACTTTTGTCTTTTCACGGGGCAACCATGGTGAAGTAAATTCGGGTGTCGGATGGAGTGGGAAAATACAGATCGGGTTCGAGCGAAGGCCATTATGGAAGGAAGAGGTGATGGTGAACATCCATGGTTGCACTTGCACCACACTTCAGGGACTTCCCATCCGAATGCAAGGTTTTACCCGCTATGAATCCACCGTGTTGACCGGCCCATTTCGAGTTTCTTTTCCTCTGTTTCTGCAGTTTCTTTTTTGTGACGAAATGGACGTTGGTGTAAATGAGTAGGGATTTTCCTTGAAATTCTTTCCTTAAGCCTACTTTGGAAGTATAGGAGAGAGAAGATGAAAGGTTATGAGAGAGAAAGGTAAGGACAATAAGGGAAATAAGTTTCCTCCTATCCTGTTTGGGAGAGGGGAAAAAAACTCTCTTTTGTTTGGAAGTAGGAGAGAAATAAGCAGAAAATATTTAAGGGGCCGCTTAGTAATTAGCATACTCTTTGTTTGCTAAAGGGAAAAAAGTCCCAATGGCCCTCCAACTTTTTACCAGGTAAAGTTTTAACCCTCCAACAATTAATGATAAAGTTTTGGCCCTCAATCTAATAAAATAGAATATTCGTGACTCTTCTGTCAAATTTAGGAGTTAAATTTGATGGGAAACATCATCTTGCGAGACGCATGGCCAAATATTAAAGGTATTATAGTCTCTAAACAAAAAAAGGGTAAAAACACTTTCACCATTGATTTTCCTTCCAACAATTTCCACCCCTTTTGCTCCAAAACCCTAGTGCGAAAAAATCAAACTATTCGATCCGGATGCTGCAGCGAAAGTGCTAATTGTGGTGCATCAACTGGAACCAGATGGTCACAATTCATTGCTTGCTCTTAGTCAATCTGAGTATTCTGCAGTGCTTGGGCATCTCAATGTCTATACGCCTTCACAGAACTCAAATTTCCCACCATCTGCATCTTGGGCTGTTGGAGGTAAATACATAAAATGGAGTTCTGGTTCTGAAGGTTCTGCCAAAGTACTTGCGGAAGCGGCAGAGTATCTTGGTGTTGCAATAAATCTCAAACATCAGACATACCTTTTTCCTTGTGTCTGGATTAACCAAAGGTACCTCTGCCTTCGTTGTTGGCAAGTCTTTAATGGTTGACAAAAAGAATTCCACCCAAGGGACCCACTATCACATGGCAGCCCAAGTCCTAGGCCTGCTGCCAATGATGCACTATTAGACTCAATTGCTCTCCCACTCCACTCCTGCTGCCCGATGGAAGCTGACGCCGACGAAACAATCCCGAACCCTTTCAGGAGCGAAACATAAGTTGTTGCTGCTCCAATCTGAGCAGCTTTTTGTAGTAATGCTGTTGCAGACATGGCAGGTTGTGGTGCAGGCACATACTACTTACGTTCTTGCCCTGCTGTTCCAAAAATTGATGAATCATAATTTGCCAGCTGCCCCCCAATTTTCACCCCTTCTGCTACTTCAAGCCTCAAATTTATAATTCAAATCTACGATCTTGACGGGTCAGCCAAAGCTCTCCCTTTCTAGATTTGCAGGTTCCCTCCTTTAGAGCCTAAAATGCCCTTGATATTTAGTCGTGCATCTCACGAGATAATGCTTTCCGTCAATTTTAACCGCTGGATCTGACAGAAGGGGCATGAATATGCTATTTTATTAGATCGAGAGCCAAAACTTTACCGTTAATTGTTGGAGGGCTAAAACTTTACCTGGTAAAAAGTTGGAGGGACATTGGAATTCTTTTCCCTTTGCTAAATAGGAAAGGGCGTTGAAAAGTTGGAATAACCTTGTTTGGAAAGGGATTTTCTATCTAAAAATCTCTACGTTTGCTGCGAACACATTTTCAATCATTTTTTTATCTCATATATATCAAATCGTTACAGTACATTTTTTATAAAAATTTCTAAAAATTGCAATCCAAACGCGGATTGGTGACTCTCAATTCCTAAGTGAATTGGTGGATTTTGTTAATTCCTATATTTGTTTCCAAGATAATTTTTTTTAAACATTTTTTAATCAACTCACATTTTTTACCCTCACCATCTCTCCATTCTTTGCCATTCCATCTCTTCTTACCACTCCTCTCTTTCTCTATGGCATCTTAGAAACTTTTCCCTTGCTGCTATCACTCACCATGGCATCTTATAAATTTCTGCCTTTGCCCTTACTAGTGTCACTCCTTTCTCACTAGGGCTGTCAATCGGATCATCTAAGTCGGATTTTAATAGACCTAGATAAGACTCACTTAGTTTGTGGGACATTTGGGTTTCAACTAGAGCTGTTAAACTTCACGAGTAGTTTGAAAGTTCGTTAGAGCTCGGTTCGATAAGGCTCGAACTCGGCTCTTTAGTTGCGGTAAATGAGCCAAACTCGAGTTAGAAATGTGCTTGTTTAGTTAACGAGTCGAGTAAGTTCGGTTCGTTTGATATCCGAATAGCTCGTTAGATTTCGTTAATAAATGGCATATTTGTCATTTTAGAAGTCAAAAATAAAAAAATTGAAAATTATAGATTTCATTGAGGTTAATTTGCACGAGTTCAAGCTCAATCCACATGTATATTTGACGAGTTAAGTTCGAACACATTTTAAAGCTCTTTTGCCTAACGAGCTTGAGTCGATATCGGCTCGAATTAAACTCGAGTCGAACTCGGCAACCAAATATTCGGCTCGATTAACAGCTCTAGTTTCAACTCATGAATTTCAAGCTAATATATATGAAGGTCATATTTGACTCATAATACATTTGGGTTTTAAGCCTAATTCGAGTTCAACTCAAACTCATTTATTACCCCTTAATTTTGTTAATACAATCACTATAATCATTAAGTAGTAAAGTTAATTTAAAATTAACAACATTAAAATTACACACAAACCATAAATGTTCATTAAAAATACATAAATAAAAAAATTTTCAACAATAATTGTCTCTAATTCTTTTAAAATACATGAAAAAAATAATAAAAGATGAATATGTTATGAAACAATTAAAAGTATGGATGTCCCTTTGTATTTCTAAGAGGATTAATTCTTGATTTATGGTTACATTATGTATAGAAGATACAATCCATAAATCTATTCATGTAGTGGAGAAATCGTTTCATAAATTTTTTCATATTATTGTAGTAGTGAGTGTTTAATAGGATTTATGTACTTTTGATCTTATAGTACCTATATATAGAGGTACATTGACACCCTTTGTATGGACTTTTGTATTAGTTGGAATAATAAGATAATCACTCTCTATTTCTCTATTTCTTTCTCTAATATCTCCAATATTTCACTTGATATTATAGTAGTTTATTTTATTAGTTTTACAATACATTATCAGCACGAGTCTCTATTTTTGAGCAAAAGGTGAAAACGGAGGCTCTATCTTGAACAAAAGTGAAACACAAGATTTTGTCGAAATTCTGCTCGCATTTCTTCAAGTAAATTCTGAGGTAAATTTCTAACTCACAAACTTGTTTCAATTTCTTATGGATAATATTTGAATTATCACAAAAAATACAAGTGCCTATTGCTGAACAATCACTAAACACAAACATATACTGTTTGACACCTTTGAGGTAATATTTCATCTTTTAATTCTACTTATTTATCTTTAAAATTATTTGTTATAAATACTTATATTCTGATGCAACGAGTTTTGGAGATGCTATTATAGAA